ATGCCATATTGCGGCTAGCACTTCGACACGACGAGCAAATCACAGCCCTTGTGTCGGACGTGACGTTCGTCTCGTATATCCGGACAGAAGATCACTCAATTCTTCCCCACCTTTACGAAGAATCTCAGCGAGTCAAGAACAGCCCCATAGGGATTCCTATCAAGGCAGCATTGACCCTGAAGCTTCTCCGTGAACTCAAGGAGAGACTGGTGACTACCAGCCGGGATAAAAGCATACAGGAGCGCCTGCAGAATGATGAGCTGATGACTCCGGATGGCGATTGGCCGTTTCTGGAGTGGAGTCCCACTGATCAGAAGATGATAGAGTCGGTGGAAGATCCTATCACTACGGCTCAAGTTGTTTCAGGACTGGGGGATGCAATCACCCGAATCTCCTCAGATCCGGAACACATCAAGCTCTTCAAAACCTCGCGGCCACTGGCGGAGAGCATGACGGGAGGACCGGTCCGAGTCCAGATCCAGCTGTCAACCAGGGTGGCCACATCTGATTTACAGGACACCTTGCAGTCTCTAGTCGGTAACACCGCCTTTTCGCTCATAAATGCAGATTTTCAGCGAATGGGAACTCAGCTCTCGCCGCTAGTTCGCCAGATTCGCGATTTGCTCTCCTGATCTCTTCCGGAGGAACAGGTCATTGATCGGACTAGCCCCAGGAGTGGGCCGGCCTGGTGTTAAGAGCTAAGTTGAAAAGTAACCCCTTTTGCAGAGGAGATACTCCCACCCTGTGCACAATTGCGAGGAGCCAGTGGCATCTTTTGACGAGCTGCGAGGAGGCCCTCCCGCGGAGCACTCTGGAATAGTAACCTTCTAAAGAGGAGCTACTCCCACCCAAAGCACACTTGCGAGGAGCCTGTGGCATCAGCGACGATCTGCGAGGAGGCCCTCCCGCAGAAGACTTTGCATGATGATGGGACTTCTGACAGAGCACCACAGACGTTCCTCTTTTGGATAAAGCGTTCAGGCTCAAACATCTTCAGGTTCAGCAGTTCAATCCCTCCCTCTCTCAACATGTATGACCAGACGCCGACTCACTTGGCTATGATGCTGCTTCCGACGATAGCAGCCGTTCACTACCTGCATCAGAAGTCCCTAGGTTTGGAGGTACTCCCCTGGGCGGTGCTCACAGATCTTCGAGAGAGAGTGAAGGCGCTAGGGCTAATCACTAAGGATGAGATCCTAAATCTTTCCGTGGAGTTACTCCCGGAAAGTGGGGTCCGGCAGGTGATCAAACACCTGGAAGTCATCTCTGGCATCGACGAGTGGGGGCAGATCAGGTACCGACGTCGAAAAGTCCTGACCGAGCAGGGCTTGGAATATCTTACCCTGGCTCGCATCAACTCTGGGGAACTGGTGGCCCCAGAAAGCATCTCCCTCCACAGATACGATCTCGACTCCCTGGAGAGGGAGACTCACATAGTCGCATACGTGAGTAAATTTTTGCCGATCGAGACCAGAACAGTTTACCTGGGGGAGGTGGAGGCTTTGAGGGCCACCTTCTTCGCCGAAGATCGCAAATTGAATTCATCGGTGTGGGACGTGTCGTACAATCGTCTTATGGCAGCCTCTCCCTGAGCCAGACGCCAAGAGGAGATACTCCCTTAGGTGGAGACACTCCCCAATTGGGAGGAGTTTCTCCCCTCGCTAAGTGTGTGCAGCTGGTGGAGTCTCTCCCCAGGGGTTTTTAACAGCAGGAGAGCATCAGGTGGAGCTTCTCCCCTTGCCTAGGTGGAGTTTCTCCCCCAACGAGGGAAGTATATCTGGTGGAGTTTCTCCCCAGGGGTTTTTAACAGCTCCGAGGAATGCAGCCAAAAATGTCCCAATATCTGCCCAGTGCAACACGACGCCATTTAAGATAAACCTTCACTGATGCAGGTCTTTCGTCGTGGTGGCCTGGTGCTCAGATGGCTCACCAGATGGCTCATCACCTGTCAAATCCTGAGTTCAGCCTGTGACATCATATCGCAGCTTTCTCTCAAAAGCCAGCAACATGTCACGACCAGAGTCAACTCAAGATCCCTCGTTTCAGAATGAGTATGCGGAATTCTGCGAGCGACGGACACGGGATCAACTTCCGTATGTCACTTATAGAAATTTTTTGCGCCAGTGGAGGCGCTCTGCTCGTGCTCGCGGCGAAAGTTATCCAGCACATAAAGGTGCCTCAAAAGGCACTGGTGGATCGGAAGAGTCGGGAGGTGGAAATTGGTGGAGTCACTCCCCCTCCCCCTCCTTCCAAAAAGAGAAGCACTGGGCAAAGCGAGGGTGGAGATACTCCCCCCGCAGCAAAGGCCAAGAGTGGAGATCCTCCCTCTGGGGACCTCTCTTCACAACAGGCCACCGATGATCGAACTGAAGCGGCCATCAAAATCCTTCAGCGTGCCGGGTATACTCCTTTTCCCAGCCTGGTCACAGCCTGCGACGGTTCCATCACCGACCTGAACAACCACAGAATTATGGTGACAGTGACCCAGCAACTTCGAGATGGCCTCAATCAGGCGGAGAGACCGACCCCTGAAATCGCCAATGCACTTCTCGAGACTTTCTTAGCCTCCCGCCGGGGCCTGGCCAATGCATCCCTGCATTCGAAGCTTGGCTTCCCAACAGCTGAGGATAATGGATGGTTTCGATTTGAGTACTCTTCTCCAAACATACTCCCAGCTGGAGACAGCGAGGTGGCGTTCCACGGTACACACCTGGAATGTTTGCATGGGATACTGGCAACAGGACGACTTCCGCCTTCGACTCCGGATCTCACAGGCACAAGAAGCTTTGAGGACCGTCCAGGAGTGTATCTCCACAGGCTTTCAAACAGGCACCTCGCGGCCGGATACAGCTGCCTGGTGAGGATTGGCCCTCGCCACATATTCGCTCGGCCCATGATCGAGGCGGAAGCTGCACACTCTGGATCGCAAAAACGTGGCAAGAAAACAAACCAACTTATATACTCCTTCGATGCAGTGAAAATCCGAGCGCTGCTGCTCCAAATCTCAACAAAGGAGACTCTCTCCCTAGGCGAGTACCTCCGCGAGTGGAGCGGAATGCTTGAGATTCCACTTCGGCAGGCTCGTGACTCCTTCACAGCTCTGGGATATGACCTGCCTAGTGAAGCTACCTCGTCAGATCGAGGAAAGGAAGGAGGAGTTACTCCCCTTCCAGCTCCAGAGCAAGCGTCAGGTTCAAAGGGTGGAGTTCCTCCCCCGACTGAGATCGCAGCGATCACTGACAACAGCACAGCCACACCAAGGAGCTCTTCCATTGTGGCATGGGAGGGTGAACCGGGCGATCTTGGAGACTACTGCACAGCCTCTATGGATCCAGAGACCCGCTTCTCGTTTGAAGTATCCAAAGCGCTGGCAGCATGCCTCAGACACGGGCATAGACCGTACATCAATGTCACTTCGGCCGGGTGGGCCAAACTCGAGGACGTGGTCTCTTGGCCAAGAGTGCAGAATCAGCACGCTACGGCAGGCGATCTCATGGAGATTGTTCGTCGCAACACCAAAGGCCGGTACGAGTTGGGAGACTGTCAAGGCACGAAGTACATCAGAGCACTGCAAGGACATTCTCGCTCGGATGTCAACTCATCAGAGGTGTTAGAGGAACTTACGGACGAGATGCTCCCCGGCATGCTCTATCACGGCACCTACTGGTCCTTGTACGACCCAATCCGTCAAGCAGGCCTTTTGCCACAAAACAAGATCTCCAAGGGCCGCGGCAAAGGAAGATTCGCAACTTATGCATGTCTGACAGGCTCAACTCATCAGCTGTCTTGATTCCAGTAGCCATGCCCGAAACTCCTAAGAAAAGTGGCACCAGAGCGAACTCTCGCACCCCTCCACCAGTGAGACGTCGTCCTCACCTACCCAGGTCACCGCCATCCAGTGATGCAATCCGGGAGTCAGACTCAGAAGAAGCAGTGGCACCCAAGGCTGATGCTCCTAAGGGCCCGCCGCCACCGGTGCCTGTCAATTTGTCGAGAAGTGGATCCAGTATGGACCTGACACCAGGAGGACCAGGTAAGGCGTCGGGAGCTCCGGTTAAAGGTGGAATCCCAGCCTCCCCTGGGACCCCCACCAAAAGCTGTGACCTCCACAATATCCCATCCGGGAACTGGAGAACTTTATGTTACAAGCACTGGCCAGGCAGGAGTTACTCCGCCATCAGCGAACACCAACAACGAGTTGGAGAGGGCGCCCGGCATACCTCTATTGAGCATCTCACTGCCTCATCGCCTCTTCTACAACATAGAGCTTGTGGTTCGCACTGAGCCATCACAGCGAGTCTAGAGAACATTCGCGACAGCTGCTGAGTGCAAAATGTTCTGCAGCCAATCAGCCAGAGACACATTGCAACCAAGCCGGTAAGCTTTTAGCTAGTGCCGAAATCCTAAATCGCATACGACTCTGAAGACACATTCCCATCCCACTTCACAGCTTGCAGCCTTGAGGGGCGGAGCGTGCAAGTGCTAGGTCGATCCCTCGCAAAGCGTGGACGAAAAGTTTCACCAAAGACAGTCCTTCCCCCGCTGCGTGTGAATGAAATGTTGTAGTGGTTGTAGTTGTAGTTGTTGTGGTTGTAGTAGCGGTGGTAGTTGTAGCAGTTGTAGCAGTTGTGTCGTGGTGGTAGTAGTAGTGGTAGTAGTAGTAGCAGTTGTTGTTGTCGTAGCAGCTGCAGCAGCATTAGCAGTAGCGGGAGCAGCAGCAACTTCTTCTTCATATGAGTATTATATTTTCGCCGATCACATGTGGGATGTTGCGGTTCGATAGCCAGGTTGTTACCTCAGGTCGTTCCGTTGTTGTCGTAAGAGAAGTCAAGGGTTATGCCCCACTTGTTCTCGTGGCTCCATAATGGAATTTCACGAAACCAGGGTATCTCATTTACCGGGTCCTACTAAGGATCCGGCGGTTTAGGGTTCTATATTCGAGCCCTTTTTCATGAAACTCCTGAATCCTAAACAAGCCCAAAACGCACCGGCCGTCGGTCCTCGGCCAATTCTACCGAGCTGTCCACCGCTGCCCGGAGCTCATCCATGCGCATGGCATTCCCCACAAGGAGGTTCCTTGTCCGGGCTTAGGCTTCAAGTCTGGGGGTTCTCTGAAAAGAAAGCTTCTTGTTTGATTGAAGTGGTTAGGTCTTCGAGTTTGGGGTTTACGGCTTGGGGTTCTGTATGAGTTAATCAAACTGCACAAGGCTTTGGCTTTGAAGGTTTGGCGGTTGAGTGTGTGTGTGTGTGTGTGTGTGTTAGGTTTTGTGTGATGGGGACGGGCTCAGGGGTAGGCTTCGCGGTCTGAGACTTTGGGTGTCTTTATCTGTCGTTTCTTGCAGTTTCCGCCACCGCCTTTCGCAGTGCCGTGAGTGTTCCGTGGGTCTAATCCTGCTCCGCCCCTGAGTTTATCGGCTTTTGACGTGGGGTCTTGGGAGACCCTTGGAGCATCGAGAGATGCTTTTGAGGTTTGTTTTTGGGGCTCTGGCAGCAATCTGTGGGGTTGCCGTAGCGTTTGCTTTGCTTCTCCTGTCTTGCTGTAAGTGCTGTTGTCGTGGTGGAACAAGCTCCGTTTAACATACGAGTCCCTAAGTCCTTATGCCCAAGCGTCGTCATGATCGCTTGCTGGCTTCGGACCGCTGTCATCTCCGCATCAAAAGCGGCCTCGAAGCCCTTGATGCGCTTTTGGACGCTGGAAAGCCCATCCTGCATGTCTGGGAACAATGTTTTGTCGTAGCAACCTTGAGCAACCAATGCCCCATTCGAGTCCTGCATCTCATCGACGATGCGATCCGAGCTGGCTTTCACCTGGCTTGCCCGGCCAGGTCTAGATCATGTCTATGCTCCGTATGATATATACTGTGTATATATATATATATGTGTGTGTATTCATATGCTCTCATGCGCCAAATCCTTGGTCTTTGGCCCAGCTGCCATATTCTTGACATCCTTCAGGTCGGTCTTCAGCTCTTCCTTGGTCTTTCTGATCTGAGACTTGACTTCCTTCAAGTCTGCCTTCAGCTCTTTCTTGCTCTGCTTGATATCCGACTTGACATCCTTCAGGTCAGCCTTCAGCTCTTCTCTGGTCTGTTTGATTGCAGCCTGTGTCATGGATCCCACGTTCTGGATCTGCGTGCTCACCTGGGAGCTTGAGGTTATTGTCAGACTCTATACTGCAGGATCGTGTCAAGCAGAAACGCCCTCAGCACGAGACCGTCAGCTTTGCTGGACCCTGAAACCCTGAAACGCACACAAAAAACAACTATTGAACGAGGATGGCGTGCGTCGCGCCGCCTCGGGCCTCGGACCCCCCGCCAAACCAGAGAAAGGCATGGCCAACGGATTGGAATTTATGCTGGGTCGCGCGCAAAAGACGAATAGTACATGCCGCGCCTGAAGTGCTGCAAACTCCGATGAGAAAGTGCCGCGGCACCACACGCGCATCGCCATTTCGCAGCGAATTCAGTAGGCGAATTTAAGGTTGCCGAATAAATCCGATGCTAACTTGCACGACGCCACACGCACACACACACAACGCCAAAAATAGACGAGCAGCAACTCCTGCTAGCCTTGCGACGTGCGTAACGAGACAGCGAAGAGAACCTCACGAAGAGGGCCAAAAGGGCCATGCAGAACAACAGCTTTCGACAACACCATCATCCAACATCATCACCATCGAAACATCAACACGTATATAATATGCCAAACACCTCCACTGAAAACAAAAATATGCACAACCAAACTGATCAACACCCACCTTGTCCATCTTGCCGTTCAGCTCCTTCCTCGCATTTTCGATTCCTGCCATGACCTCCTCTTTGTTCTTCCTGGCCTCCGCTGTGACCTCATGAAGACGTATAGGGCTTCTTGAAACTAGGGGCATTCCATTTTGGGGGGTCTTTATACTAGGGATCCTCTCATCTAGGGATTCCTGTGCCGTGGGTGCGCTCTGGCTTCCATTTCTTGCATCTCACCAACCAGCTCGGCTTCCATTTCTTGCATCTCGCCAACCAGCTCGGCTTCCATTTCTTGCATCTCGCCGACCAGTTCGCCTTTCATCTCCTGCCAAACCCAGCAAGAGGTTGAAAGTGAGGTCGTCAAAAACAGCGTTCGGCCGAGCCTGCATCTCACCTTTCAGCTCTGCTGTCGAATTTGCTATGGCCTCAGACATGTGCTTCTTCATCTCCTGCCAGGCGGAGGTCTCAGGCAAACGTGAAGCAAGTCCGAAGGTAAGTCTCATGCACAGTCCAGGCTTTAGGGTCATGGCTGGCTATCAAGATGCAAAGACAAGTCCTTCGTGGAGTTCTTAATCTCGGCGCGCAGTTCCCTGGGGCACAGCTTGCTTGGTCACGAGCTGAGCAAGCAGGCAAACTATTCTGATGGAGGATGGCAATGAGCTTGGGTTACAGGCAAGCGTTGTCTACATGAAGCTCGAAAACGTCTCGATGAAGGGTAGTAACGGGTAGTATCCTAACCACTAGCAAGACAAAGGCATAGAAACTCTAGAGTAGTGAGTAGTGCACCACAGAGCGTATGACGAGGTATTGTGTAGAGACACAGAAAGGGACACAAAGCACACTATCACTGAATCATGCAGGTATGAATGTGAACAAACAGCTCCGTGGAAAAATAGGACAACCAATCCCAGCTTCACACGGATATAATACTAGCACGAGTGAAGAATCGCAGGGAGTATAACCGCAGAGCCACCTGGATGTAAAGACTGTGCGTGCTCCCGTATGTGCCAAAGACAATGCAATCCCTGGAGCAGTGCAAAACCAAGGAACTCCTCCAAGCTGTCCATTTTGGCCATGGCCTCCTCGTGTTTTTTGTCCCTGTCTTCCTGCGACTGGGGAGTTGGAGTGCGTAGAGGGTTCGCTTGGGAAGCTCTTGGTTTAGAGAGGCCTTGTGGCCCTGCCGAGAACCCCGCACTTGTTCTTGAGCCCGGCCCAGAAAGGAAGTTGCTTCGGCCCGAGAGCAAACTGCACAGGGTTTACCGGATGGGAAACACCACAAGGTTGGTTGTCACCGGAGATGACAAATGGTGCCTCTCGCCCAATTAGGTCCCGCGTTCGAGAAACCACGTTGACTTGCGAAAGCCACTTCCTGCCATTTGGGTTCAATGAAAGGCTCGCTTCGTGCGGCCGTTCTCAAAAGGTTTACCTTGCCCAGAGATCTCGGAGCCGCGCTCCTCCGTGCTCTCAAAGAGATCCCGGGCCCCCGAAGGCAACAACGTTTCTGTGCAATGTAAGGCTACGGGGCCACAGCAGCACCCTCAAAACCTGAACCAGAGTTGTTCTAAGATCCCAAACCCGAACCTCGGAGAAATCTGCCCCCGAAACTCCGAAAGGCTTCTCCTGACCCATGTTGGCGATGAAGAGTGCCATGTCCGTTGCCTTCTTGTCCTGGAGCCGGGTTGTACGTTTGGGGAGTCGGCAAAAGACTCCGACTGTACATCCTTCCGAGGACGGTTTATGCCTTGCGATGTGTGTTCTGGAACGGGGTTTGGGTATTTTGTGGAACCGAAGCAGTTACACGGCCTCCGAGTCTTTAGTCTCACCACTTCGTCCTGCATCGCCGTAACATCGCACATCTTTGCCGCAGAGATGCTGCAAATCGAATCCGCCACATCATTGATCTCGTTCAGATACGATGAGTCGTGGTCAGCCCACGAGATTCCACAGAATCCCTCTGACGGCAACGAACGAAAACAACTTGTTGGGCAATCAAAGGGAATCGCATCGTAACTCCTACACGGCCCGGAGAGCCAGTCACTTAGTCTGGCGAGGCCGCAGAGGAGCTTTTTCCCGACCTGGATCTGTGTTGAGCTTTTGACGGTCTGAGCTGCTCCCATTGCCTCAAAGGCATCAACCTCGTATTGAAGCCTCTGAGAGGCGACGTAAAGAATCTCCTCAGTCGTGCTGTTGCACTCCTTTGTCTTGTCTTCAAGATTGCTTAGTAAGCCATCAAGGTCGGCCTTGACTGCCTGCACCTCATTCGTGTAGATATCTTCGAAGAGCGTCAGCTTCTTGTTCAAAGCCGTTTCGGTCTGGTCTGCTTTCTCCTGAGCGTAACTCCTGTCTGCGTCCGAATCCTGGAGGAGGCTGGCGATGCCTGCGCAACCGCCCTCACGGAGCTTATCCTGCAAGTTGCACTGCTCGAAGTCATACTGCCGGGTGTACTTACATTGGTCCATGACTGGGTACTCCGACCCCTGCACCCCCTCCCGCATGACAGAAACTAGGTGTTCATCCAAAAGGAATGGGCACATGGACTGCAGCATCTGCTGCTGCTTCTTTGTCAGCGTCTCGTAGCCAGTATGGGTGTTTCCATAAAGGGGCCGCTTGAGGTGGCAGACCGAGTCTTCGGCTGCTTGCGGCGAAAAGTACGTTCCACGGAGCAGCATGTGCAATGTGCACTCGCCTTCCTGGCAGTGGATGAAATGGCAATGGGGCCTGAGTAGCAATAATTGAGTGGGCAAAGCATGCACAAACAGCACTCAGCACGTGACTCAATCGAAGATGGTATTGCTGCTCCGACAGCATAGGACGTGTTGTGCTGCCCAGGAGCAGGATACTGCACCGCGCTTTCGATGCTGCCAGACCAGCCTTTACCTCACTCGGTATTGCGAGTGAATGAGTAACGTCACATCTGGTGGCATATTCCCAATGAGTCTTGACGCATAGGCTCTCGAAGGAGCACACTGTACGCTCCTTGTCCACGGACTGCATCATCGCTACAAAAAGGGAATCCTTGGCCTGCTTCCGCAGGGACTTCATAGTGTTCAATGCATCGCCTCCGACACCTCCGAGATCTTCGTTGGCCTCCTTGGCGGACAAGAATAGGAGCTCATGTACTCCCTGCCATCTTAGTTGGCAGTCATCCACCAAGTAGTCCTCCTTGAACATCTCAACGCCTTCACGTTTCTCCTTCCGATCCACCAAGGCTTGATACTGTTTCTTTGCCTTCTTTGACATGGAGCCCAAACCTTTCCTTAGCTGCACTGAGGTGACGGTACGTGATCCACACAAGCATTGCCATTTGTTGCGGCCCGTTCGACTGTCATAGTTCTTCTTACATGGGGGTGCCATGCTCCAGGGTGGCACCTGCCGGGAGCCAAGCTTCAGTTGCTGAAGCTTCTCGGCCATTGAGACAGTAACCTGCTCAAGGCTGACCGCCTGCACAAGCTTTCAAGTTGTTGGATTGCTTCTGGATGGACCTCTACAGTATGCGTCCAGTGTTCTCAATCTGAGTCTGGGTATCCCAGGCTCACATCGCGTCCTCCATCCTATTGGCTATGCCCCTCTGCATTCCCCGCTAGTCGTTGGACCTTCTTTGTGCCAACTGCACAGTCGAGCAAGCTTTGGGCTCTACATTGTTGCGCATGCGGCTGATGGTTTAGGACTCACTGTGGGAGCTCAGGGTTGTGATGTGTGTTCACTCCACTCGGAAATCATGTGCAAGCCCGAGGGATGTTGGAACGAACTCGTAACAGGACGCTGCATGGCAGGAAGCGGGACGACCTCATCCTGCAAGCCGCATGGAACAAAACGGACAAACGTCATGGCCTCCTATATTGGCTTACTTTAAAGTTCGCTCGCTGTTATGTTCTTTATGAAACATATATGTATTTAATGAAGAGTTGTATCTGTTTAGCAAGAGGATATATCCTGTTATTAAGTATGTATAAATGATTATAAGTCGTGTTAACTATTGCTGAACAACTTTCACACTTATGTTGATTAAGAAAGTTGTGTATTTGTTTATCTAACCCATTAGTGCTATTAAGATTTGCCCAGGAAACTAACTAATTACCTGCATCTAGCCAAATGATTAAGTAATGGTTTAGGCATTCTTAACAACTGTTTAGCTAAGTCCTAGAAGGGCTACTAACAAGTTAGCATATCCGGATTTAAGTATTTAGCTAACTACGCTAACTACCTGTGCATTGTATTGAAATCGTGTCATGCTCACTGGGTTCTACAGTAGCCGAACGTGGCGATTTCTGATTTTGTAAAAGCCATCCGGCTGTTCTTGAGTTCCAAAAGCCCTTCAGTTGCATCTGACAAGCCTGCAGTTTGCAATATGTTCCAAGGAAATTCGAAGGCTTCGGATCGAGGAATTGAGTTGTTGGATGCAGGAAGTTGATACAAATGGAGCTGCAAATCAAAGGGCATGGCAAAGCATTCGGACTTGTTTCCAATTGCGACGCTCAATTTCAGGAGCAGCCATCTGGCTGTCATGATATACATGATCTGTAGTCAAGCCGTCTGGCTGTTTAGCGTAGGTGCGAGCCTGAAGGCCGTCCATGTACCATGCATATCTGTTGCTGCTGTTGCATGGAGAATTGTGATCGCAAGTGCAGCAGCACAGCCTGGCACAGCTGGTATCAGCGATTGAGCATGTGTGCATTCTCGAAGCTTTGCAGAGCCGACGGCTTGCAGGATGGCAGTAGGGCCCTTAAGTTCGGGGCCAGAGAGAAAAACAGCAGGTAAGGACATTCACCATGCACTGTATCATATTTCTTTGTAGTGCACTTCCAGCAGGACTGCTCCAGTACTCCTGGACCATGCAGAACCTTTCGCAAGCACAAAAACATTCACATCAGACAGACAGCACTCCTCTGCTGCCTTTAGCAACCGTGCAAATTTTCACTTCCGGAAGCATCATGGAGGTCACTCCCGAGTTGCAAAAAGCCGTGCAGGCTCTGCTCGATGACACATCCGCCCCGCTACTCAGCCGGTGGCAGCGAGTAGCTGACAAGCTGGTCGAAGGTGGACTGGCATGGCGGGCGAAGTTGCAAGCGAGCAGCATGCTCGTCCACAACCACAACCGGGGCGGTCTCGGTTTCAGTGGACATGGGTGTCGCCTGAAAGGGGAAGCCCTGGCCAAAAGCGGGTTCGACGCAAAATTCCTGCATTCAGCTGTGTGTTGCTTGGCTGCTCTGAGATTGTTGGTTGCAAGTATTACAAAGCGCGTTTGCTGCATGAGGTTTCGAAATCAGCCACAAGCCTAGCCGACTGGCTGAACAGCTGGAGTTCAACCGTACGTTGGTGGAGCAAGCCTCCGGGCTCTTGGCGCCGGTGCAGGGTGCAGAAAGGTATTTGTCGGTGTCCTGCGGCCACACAACTCAGTTTGTGAAGGCCGTCCTCTCCAGCTGCCCGACACACTTGCAGTCTCTCGCCGACCAGACAGGCCGACTGAACAGGGAGGCCCTGGGCACAGACGGCCATCTGAATGACATGCTCTCCGAAGGGTGGACTAGGCTGGTGATTAGCTCTCGGGCTGAATCTGCGTTTCCGCGGCTGCCTTCACTGGCCGAACAGGCATTGAACAGCTCCAAATCAGCTTTCCACGGCGACGATGGAAGTAGAGAGCATGCTTCACATGCAGGAGAACATGAAGAAGCAGATCGCTGAGGGCAAGGAGATCGATGTTGAGGCCGTCGCCTCCGAGGTGGTGCCTGTTGGAACGACATTGATGCAGTATCTCCGTTTTTGTGCGATGGCTCGAACAGGTTCAACGACACCCCTGAATTTTGTCAGTGCTTAGATCCACACCGAGAAAATTTCGAACGATACGGCTTGGATTGGCATTACTATTACCAATCCCAAGACCCTGCCCGTCGCCAGACATGGACCTGAGGAGAAGCCTTAGGGCTGTGGTGCAGCCTGTGATAATGAAGCCTTGCCACCCTGTAGGATTGCTGTAAACAAAGCAGTGGCAGCAAAGAACTCAAAAGTACAATTGTACATATGTTAAAAAGCAACTAATGAAAATTCTGAATTGGAAGTACAAATTCAAACCTGAATTGTAATCCAAATATATATATATATATATATAAACTTCAACATCTGAACTAGCTACTTGACCACACAAGCCAAGAGCTAAACCCTCAAGCCTCCAGGCTGAACCCAGAACTCCTCAGGTAGCCATGGCCAAGCGAATTCACGTTTGCGGGTCGCCGTTTCACAACAAAGTCAGGGCTACATATGTGTGCTGAATATATAGCGGGTAACTGCTGTTGTTTGTTTTGCGACTTCGCAAATATGATGCCTGTACTGTGCACTTTTCTCGCCAAGTCTACTGGAGCGCCGTCTTCGTTGAAACAATAAAGAAGCTTTCTAAGGGTTGTCGGTTTGGGCTTGTAAAGAGCATAGCTTGCTGTACGGCGGGAAAAGCAAAGCGACTGTGCTTCACTTGAATACTCCACAGACCAGCTGCTTCGTGTGTGGCCAAAACAAGAGAAGTGCAAGGTTGGCTTGCATTGTGACCAAGCCTTGTCCGGGAGGGGGTGATTAGTTTTTGTGAAAAGCCCTTGGGCTAGATTGAAGCCTTGAAGCCGGCTGCTTGGTTGTAACCGGCATTCCAGGATACCTATCTTTTGGAAAAGGCAACTCTAAAGGAAGCAATAAGCACAAATAATTCAGAATCTAAATTTACTAAAAAAATACAACTCAGATTCTTGATTTCGTAGACAGCCCTTGCAGTCGTGCAGACATACACATATACGCATACATACATATACATATATATATATACACATACGCACACAAACACATGTATATATATATATATATATATTGTGTGTCTATGTATATGTATGCATACCGAAGCATATATCAATATGTATGTAAACATATATATACACACATATAGACAGGAAGAGAGATGTTTCTTCACGCACAAGCAGTCTAAGGCTTTAATGTTCATGGTTGCCGGGTGTGCCATCAATCATTGATTCAGCCGAGTGAAAGCGAATCAGTTCACGTATCAGCCTAAGAAAGAATATATGTACATTAACATACATACATATATACATACATATATCTGTATATACATATACACCTGTACACATATATATATATATATATATATATATATACATATGCACATACACCTGGACATGAGGGAAAGAAGCTGTGAGGCTCGTGATTTCGCTGCCATCAATCATTGATTCAATGAAACTGAAGAAATCAATTCAAGTCATTCCGTCATATCAATCCACCAGTACAAGAAAGAATATGTGAACATTAGTATACAGACATATATATATATATATACAAACGCACACTGACATCATGGAAAGAAGCCATGAGGCTCGTGATTGCAGGACAATATTCAACCCCTAAACTTGGAAGCCTGCAGTGCCGCCGCAGCTGCTCTGCTAGATATTCATGAAAGTTGCATGACTGTGCCACCAAAAGCTGACTAACACAGTGCACCCTTTAAGCTGTAAACCCTGAAACCCGGACACCCCTAAACCTCATATAATTCATAAGTGTTGGACACCATGAACCCCAAAGCCTATATAGCAAACCTACAAGGTCCAGGAGTCTTAGGAACCGCAGCAACGGATCCTCGCTCCATGGCTACACTGCAAATGGTCTGGAGCCTACGGGCTGTTGTTTGCGAGCTGGTCAGGCTGTCGGGTCAAGCCGAGGGCAGCCAAGAAGGTGGTGACGGCCGAATCTTCCGCCTTCACCACCTTCTCGGTTGCCCGGTCGGTGGTGTGCTGCTCCTGGGGTTGTGCATGCGGCTGCGAAGAATGCTCGATTTTCTCTCGGACTCCCAAAAGTAATCGAGGGTGGGCTGGCCAGCTCAACGGTTGTGCTGCTATACGGCTGGTTGCTCATGCGGCTGCGAAGAGTGGAGACAGGCGAAACGATCAAGCTGGCCAGTCCACCCTCGACTCTCTCTCGGACTCCCAGAGGTAGTCAATGGTGGGCTGGCCAGCTCAACCGTTATGCTCAGAAGTCGGCCGAAAAGCTTATTCAAATTGGGCACCAGGGAGCACTGGAAACACCCAGGGCCGAAGGCTCAAACTAGCCATCGAAGCATGAGACTCTTGGGGAGCCTCCGGGCTATAGCAGGTTCCATGGGACATCGATGCATGTCTTCGTTTGGAGCTTGCCGGGTTTTGAGGATGGTCTCGCTGAAGTGTTTAAGAGAGCTGTCCGAATCATTGACCGTGAAGTCAGTGCTCGGGGAAGCAGAAAACGAAGGGATTGCCACTTCATGTCCACACTTCTGACCATGGAAGCTGTATAACAAACATTTAAGCTTCAGCTTTGCGGCTTTAGGGTTTCAAGCTTTGGCATATGGCTTATTTTCTTGTTTTCTTGGTTTAGCCATTCACCTTTTAGACTGTAGGTTTCATGTTTTCGGATTTGTCAGGCTTCAGCTTTTCAAGCTGAAGCATTATCATGTGTTGAGGTTTATAAGGCTGCAGCTTTTCACAGTGAAAAATTATCAGCCAGTCTCGGCTACTATGCAAAATTCGTGCATGGTTCGAGGCTTTAGGCTTCACAGCACTCGTAGCCGTTTGGCTCTTCTTGAGACACTGCCTGTCAGACTCGGACAACCCAGTATGGCTTTAGGATTTGTTCTTCAAACCTTCGCTTTGCAAAGCTTTTTCGCATGCTATCTTTTTGGCATGGGAAGCCTGCACTGTGCAGGGAATGTATATAGACCGTAGGAAACATTTGCATTGATTTCTCTTGAGAAGTGTGCCATGATGAGCCCTGTCGCTAAATCAGGGTATCTCTTTAGGTGGTGTCAGCGGCCACTGACAGAGGAGTTAAGCTGCAGAAGCTGCAAGCTTTCAAACGAAAGCTACTGCCTATGTCGGCTGCAGCCATGTCTGCTCTTTTGCAAGCGGTGGAATCGTCTGGCTTACCGGAAATGCATGGAAGAAAACATGTCAAGGAGGCGACAGAGAATGCACTCGAACAGCATTCTGCTTATGGTCCATTGCTTTGGGCATCGTTTATCAGCCTGAGAGCTTGATCTTTGACCCGGACCTCTGCACTGTCGTCAAGCCTGTCAGCCAATGGCTTCACGATTGGATGCGTGCCTTTTTCGTCAAAGGCACTTGGATGCTTGGTTTTGCATGTAACAATATATACGAAATACCTGTTCTTTTCCTTTCCCGGCCTGGCTGCTCAGCCCCAACTCTTGGCAGGAACACTTGCATGCACTCGACTATGGAAGCTGCTGAGAAAGGCCTTGGCCAGGACTTCTACAAGATCTGTGCTGATTATGTGGAGCGGTGGATTTTGCCTCGTTCGAAATCGCAGAATCTGGCTAAATTGTTTACTGCGAAGAAGAAGGAAGCCAACAGAAGCGCTGAGACCTTGAAGTGCACAGCTTCCGAAGCCCTGGCATTGTATCCCATCTTCACGTGCCTTTTGGTAAATGTCTTACAACCCTTGGGAATCTGCTCCATGGAGATCGCTGCATGCATACACCTCAGAGATGTGCTCGAGCTGCTTCAAGCTGGCCAGACTTTGGGACTACCCGGACGAGCACCTCTTCGACACAGCCGCAAGGCTGCACCAGAAATGCAAGCCGTCCAAGCAGCTGAAAGGCTTCCTTTGCCAAGTCTCGCCACTCGACGAGGAGGTCTACATGTGCAGCCGCTCATTTGGCGCCAGCTGTCCACTGTCACAAGGGAGATGTTGCGATCATGAGAAGCTGTGAGCTTGCAGAGGTCTGTTTCCATGCAGAGGTTGGAGGCAAGATGTTTTCGTTGGTCAACGTGCTCGAGTTGCTGCAGCATGACTCGAAGCATGGTACATGCATCTGTCGACGGCAGCCTTCGGGCTTTGATCCCGAAGGAATGCAGACCCTGATCGCGAGAGCTGCCGCCGCATTTCGAAAAAAAATGCGTGCTTTGACTATACATGCTTCTACACAATCAGCACGAGGCCGTGCCACATGTTCAAACCTTGTAAGAGCCCATGGGCTTTTGTATACCGTCCTATACTGCAATTCAAGTATGAGCTTCCTGATTGTTTTTGCCCATGTGTCTTTTAAAAGGCTAATCTTATGATCAACTTTCGCTGTTTCTGTTTGATACGGACGACTATTTTTGCTTCCTAATTAGCTAGCTAACTTCTTAGCAAAGTACTTAGCGACACAGCTAAATAGTTAGGTAATCGGCCAGCTAAATACTTGCTTAACCACTTAGCTAACCACTTCTCAAGTGTTAGTAATTTCTAGTATATTATGAAAAAAAAGCTCTTTTCAACATTATAACCGCGAGCGATCTTTAAAGTAGACATTTCGCTTGAAGACTTGCTTCGACATTCCATGATCCCGGAGCCTGCCACTGCTGCACTTCGGCCCAGGCTCGGTGCACGATCTCCTGAATTACACCTGAAGCTCAACACTGCGTTCAGAGGAATCGGACCCGAGGCCCTCAGACATCGCAACACGCCTGCAAACAAGTTGGAGGCTGTGGACGTCTTGTAGATGTAGTCCTGAGCGAAGTTGCTAGGCTGCTAGGCACTGCATGCACTAACTTTACCGTTGATTGGCTTTGCTTGTTCGCATCTTCGGCCCCAGCCGAGTGGCGGTCAGAAGTTCCCCCAGCTGCAGTCCCTTGCCTTGGGCACGCAACCTGCCCAGCCGACTCCACTTCCCGTTCCCCTTCGCTCAGTCTGGAGGAGGTTCTCGTCGGGGCACCGCCTGGCCCCATCCAATCCGGCAATGCATCATCTGCAAAGCATGATCGGTCGGGTTTATCGCGTCCAAGCTTTGGGGGTGTGTACGGGTGTTGTTGTTGGGGTGGCGGACAGATGTCCCGAAAGGCCGAGGCCAACGCACAGCGTTTACAAGTACCCCCATGGTCCTCTGTTGGCACCTCGCACGCGGGCCGGACTGTTGTTGGGATAATCGTGTCGAACCAGGTCTTCATTTGATTCACCTCAGCGCGAGGTGCCAAAACGGATTTCCCCGTGTCTCTCTCGCATCCTACAGAAAGAAACCCGTTAAAAGATTTCCCGTGTGTCTCTGTGTCAAGCAATCGGCCAGTCTGGCACAAGTGTGCTTCATTGGCGCTGGCTGTGGGTCCGCATGGCTGTTTGTGAACACCACGTACACGTAGGCTAGTACGAGTTGGGTCGTGCAGCCTAATTCTGGAGAGGAGCACTTCCGCTTCCGTCAGCCTTCCCCAAAAAATCTGGAATTCTGGACAAGGAACCTGGCAAGAACAAAAAAGCCCTGATGAACCGAGTGGGACACAATGCCGTGAAAGTAAACCAAGTGACACCCTGCCCGGAGCCCATCGCTGTTGTGTCTGAATTGGTCTGGGCCAGCACGATTACCTGGGTGCTGGCAAGCGTAGGTCAGCTCAGAAACTAGTCTGCCTTCTCGAAAGCCCACATGTATCCATGCGTCAACAATCAATCCCTCAGTGAAAATCTCGGTGACCTTGAGGTACAATCTCTGAATCAGCCATCGAGCCAGGCGAGTTGCATGATTTCTTTGACTTGCGGGCTTGACACCCAGGGCCAAGTACTTCGGCTTGGTCTGGTTCCGGCCGATGCGCTCCACGCCCTCCTGGGCCCACTGGGATGCAGACCTGTAAGACTAAACTATTGCTGCGATTGCCTGGTGTTCGTGCTTCTTGCTATGATTAGCCGCTTTCGGCCCCTCTCCTCGAGGTACGGACAGTCTGGGTGCCACAACGGAGGAGGCTTGACTCGGGAAGCCTGGCTGCCCTGACTGCCCTGCAGCAAAGCAGGCGAGATGGTCGGGGACTGGGCTTTGCAAAGACTGGCACGCCAGCGCAGGACGAGGTCGGGCAGGAGCTGCCTGGTCGCCTGCACTGAAGCTCCCATCATGGACTCTGCCTCATGGACGAGCTTGGCATTCGGTACTTGCAGCCCCGCAGAAGTGAAGCGGTTCCCAAGCATCGCCATCTCCCAGGATAGCGTCCGAATCTGGCGCAGAGTCTGGCCAGCGAGTCCAGTATCAACAGCCGCCTGCAGCTGATCCCGCAAAACAGCCAGCGACTTCTGCGTGTCATTCGAGCAGAATTCTTCTCGAGCTGACGCCTCGAGACTTCCGAGAGCCTGCTCCCGCACAGCTTCCACATCATGCAGCATGAGCTTTATGAAAAGGGCGCCATCCTGGATCTGCGCCGCCATGTTGCCGAAGTCGGACACGACCGAAGACCAGGTCTTCTGCAGCACACTATGAGCTTTCCTCTTGGCTTGAGCTGAAGCGCCGTAGGCCTCCTGAGATGCACTCTGTCAAACCAGAAAAACCACCCCAACCCGGAGTTGCCGGTGCCTTAAGCTGTGTGAAGCCGGTGCTGCAGGTCGCTGTGTAGCCCTGGAGCACCTCGCCCGCGAAGCGCACCGAGGAAATATGATCGTCGGCAGCCTTGCAGGTTTGAAAGATCGCGGCCCCTTTTTCGGGGCGATGCTGAAATTGGACAGTTGGCAGCAAATGCTCATGTTGCGGTGATGGTGAATTGCTAAATGGACGTGCTTGCGGGTTCAATCGGGCTTCACGGCTATGCTCTGACCTGCAGGTAATCGTCCAGGCTCCTGCGGATGCTCCACCAGGAGCTGTCGAAGAACTGCATTGCCTGTTCCGCATTCTGCAAGGTGTCGTGCTCCAGCAAATCCCGAGCCTTTCTTCTGACGACAAACAGAGGAACAAGTTTGGAAAACCAGGAACCATGAAACCAAAAGTTTAAAAGGTCATGCCCTGGCCAACTTGAGGAGCTGTTAAGTTGCCAAAGCCACCCATCAGAATTCTCTGAGCCAGCTTTCTGGCACTTGCTGAGTTCTCATAGATGCCCAAAGTCTGGCCTCTCTGGCTGAGCAGACGGTTCATGCGTGAGGCAGCCTGCAACGTCTCGTGCTGCAGCTGTTCCTCGCGCGCCATCTTCTTGACACCCAGCTGCATCACTGTCTTGTGCAGAGAGGTTACCTGGCGGAAGACAGGCCAGGGCACGGAATCTTGATTCTCAGTTGTTTGCTGGATCTTGCCTCGGTTGCCATGGCTTTCAACGACAACATCCGTACCGTCGCGTTATCGCCTGTCGAGAGCTTGGGGTTTACGGCCCACAAGGTAAAGGCACGCGAACAACAAACCTAACAAAACCCTCATTGCACATCGTCCCGTAACTACCCACATCAGAAACCCGAGCTCGACCCTCCTTGATCTCCCTGCCATCGGCTGCTGAAGCTTCGGATGGCACGCTGCGCTGCCCAGGAGGCGGCTGGCTCGAGTCGGCCCTTCGGTTTTTGCGCCCCTCAACCGCTCAACCCGAGAACTACCGACTGGTGCAGACCTATATCAATTCGTCAGTATGCGTGTGCAGGATGATCTTCCGACACACATACACAAGCGCTCGTTCATAAACCAGAAGACACGAATGCACGAGCACAAGCCGGCAAGCGACACACCAGCAAATAAATTAGGTATGCTGTGTTGGGACAAGAGCCACCATGCCTTACATGTCCCTGGCAGGTACTCGGCCTCTTGCGCCATGGCCGTCATCTCCAGCATGCTCGCCTGGATGCCTCGCTTAATCTCCTGACCCTCTTGCAACAACGAGTGCGATGAGGAGTCGGTGATCAAGCCCACCTCTGCAGGGACAATTCAGCGTCTGCGTCGCTGGTGCTTGGACGTCTACCGAGGGATGACATCACCTCAATGACTGTGGTTTTTTGAGGTTCCGCGGCGGAACAAGAGCGTGCCCCGAGCCTGACACTCAAGCAACATTTCAGTCCTTCCCTTGCCAAGGCCTAGGACTGTCTAGGATGCAATGCTGCAGCCTGAAGCAGCCATACTCACCTCAATCCAAGATTCAATTATCCCCAGACCGCTGAAGACGAGTCAGTGCTCTGCAAGCGGAGCCGCGTAGTACTCGAGCAGCAGCTGCGTGTTCTGGCCAACCACTCCTACGGCTTGCTCAAGAGCGCGGAGGATTGCATTGTCGCCCTTCCTGCCAAGACTCAGGGATTTCAAGACTTCTGCACTGGTACATCCTGCGCCCGGAAGCTTCAGCCATTAACCGTTGTTTCGGTGGACGCTGCAGCAGCCAAACGCCTAATACCTCAACTCCTTCCTGTTCGGTTTAATTAATTGCTTTTGGCTGACCTTGGCGGCTCTGGCGGTCCGGCCTGACTGAATCTCTGATGCAGTGCAGGTCGCAAAAGGCACGCTCGAAGCCGAAGGCTGGTAGGTTGCAGGCCGCGACCCCTTTCTTTGCGTAAGAATCCTCCAGGTCCAGTTCGACAGCCTCCGCGACGGAGTGTGCGATTGTGAGAGGCATCTTTCCTGGAAGGGTGCTTCTCTCCAAAACACGGGTGTGGGCTCTGCGGGGCCCGGCCTATTTTCTCGGTCATGTCGCCGATTTTCATTACAGCGCCAAACCCCAGGGGAGCGACACTGGCTTCCGGCACGGCTGCACCGGCGATTTCTAAGGCGTTTTCAACTGACGGAATCCAGGACACGGATTGCATGGCATCCTGGCCAAGCAAGCGACGTGTGACGTTTCTGCACAATCAAACAACAGCTGCTGCTTTTACCCAGCAAGACCCGTACTGCCTTCTCTCTGCCAGACTCCGAGATCTCGCGCAAACCATCTTCATCACCACCTGAATGCAAAAAATTCTCAATGACTTGCTTCAACTAAGCTGTGGAATGCTGAAGAATGCACCGAGCCCAAGCCACACTCTTTGATGTCCTTGTAGGTCACACCGGGATCTGATGGTGCCCCTGTCTGGTCTTTCCAGAAGCTCATGCCTTTGCCCGATCCATCAGCGCTGG